TGGGATCTCAATTCGTCGGTCACGACGTGACGTCTCCGTTCACTCCTTCAGGGAATGAGGGTTACATACGTAACCGAGACGATTACAATCATTTAAAAGAATACAAATAAAATCAGTATCAGTTTTCACAAGTAAATGCCTTTAAAAACCTTTCAAGAACTATGTAATGTTTCACTCCAAAATGAAACATTTGTTTATAATTTAAATCAGCATCAGTTATTTTATTTCAGGTTTTACTGTAATACTATAAAAAAAATACTCTATAAAAGTAATAAAATTAATTATTTCATGTGATAATGAGAATTTCTAGGGTTCTGTAAGTATAAATGTTTATGCTTAAATGGATATAATGTCACAATGAATGTAATGTTACAATAATAAAAAACTTTAATGGTCTTAAATTAGGCTTAATTTTATTTATATAAATGATCGTTTCAAATTGCTTTTTTTCTCCTTTTGGTTTTTGGGTGAGGTGAGACATGTTTTCCTTAGATTCACTCTTGTATTATTATTGCTATTATTCTTTCAAAATCCCTGATTTTTTTTTTTACCAAAAAAGTTTCAAATCATCTTTTTAGAGAGTTGATTAAGTTAATATCAAGTAACTTCCAGAAATGTAACATCAGCTCACTCTTTCTATCTGTCTGCCTTCGCAATACACTGCGAGTAGGTCTCTTGATCCAAAAAGTGCAGAGCACACACCTGAATCGTTTTGCATGAACCCTCACATGTGAGGTTTAAGTTGTAGCTCATCATAAAATTGTTAAAATACTTGTCAAAGACTTTACTCTGTGGCTACTCAAACCTAAGAGCAAGTTCATGCAAGCTGTGAGGCTGAATGTCATCAATATCAAAAGCCTCAGTCATAATGTATTCCAGCTTCCACTTTGACCTTTGTTCCAGGTTTGCTTCTGTGAGATTTAAATAGAACTGCCAAATATCCTTTGGAGGAAAAAAGAGAGAGAGAGAGATTATTAAAAGGGATGCAATAGAACAGCCACACTTTGAGCTGGCACCTTGATTAAAACACACCATGTAATTAGAACTGACACTACCATTAATCATTCAGAAACAGGAATTGCACACACACACACACACACACACAATCATTTATTAGAATTAAGCCAAACATTTAGCTTCAAACAACTCAAAATATCAGAATTAAAAGACACAAGGCACTAATGATTGTAAGAAGCATGTGCTAAAAGTAAATAAATCAGTGCCTGAACTTGCTTGTTGGTGGACACTTACCAGTAAAGCATAATTCTCAGGGTAGTACAGATATGCACGGACGCCAGGATTGTTCGAAAATGGCTCCAATAGACTTTTGATAGTTGTAACAGCAGGTGTGACAAATATAGAGTTCACAGGTTTCCCTTGAATAAATGCATAAATGGTACATAAATCAGTATGTTCAATGATATGTTCCCATGGTCTATCTGGATCACTTACTACAATTGCCAAACTGAGCACTATACTGTACCTCAGAGAAAGCAGATTCAAATATTGCATTCATCGCTTCTATTTTCATAAATGAACTAGAGCTATATCAGTAATAATTTTTTTTTTCCATATGTGACCCTGGACCACAAAACCAGTCATAAGGGTCAATTTTTCGAAATTGAGATTTATACGACATATGAAAGCTGAATAAATAAACTTTCCATTGATGTATGGTTTGTTAGGATAGGACAATATTTGGCCGAGATACAACTATTTGAAAATCTGGAATCTGAGGGTGCAAAAAATCAAAATATTGAGAAAATCGCCTTTAAAGTTGTCCAAATGAAGTTCTTAGCAATACATATTACTAATCAAAAATTAAGTTTTAATATATTTACAGTAGGAAATTTACAAAATATCTTCATGGAACATGATCTTTACTTAATATCCTAATGATTTTTGCCATAAAAGTAAAAACAATAATTTTGACCCATACAATGTATTTTTGACTATTGCTACAAATATACCACAGCGACTTAAGACTGGTTTTGTGCTCCAGGGTCACATATTTTTCTTGACTCATGTTTCGATCAAACTGCCCAAAGTTCAGACATTTTTACAATGTAATTTAAACTGCAAAATAACAAATAAACTGGATGCCACTCACTAATGAAGTCATGAGAAAACAATGTTTCAAATGTTTGTCACTGCATGTTTGTTTTTTTATGCATTTATTGAAAAAACTGAAATAAAAAATAAAATTAAAAGTAAATTGGTGCTACAACTTGGTGTGGAAACTTTGAAATTGCAAGTAAATTTCACAAACAATAACAAAGAAACAACAAGTAACACATTGAATTAAATGTAAACTTTAGAAGCACAAAAACAGAAATTGTATTTTCCTGTAAAATATATTCCAATATTTTTTGTTTTATTTACAACTTCAAAAAAATATTTTTTACAATATTAAAAAGTTTTTTTTTCTTTTGGATTTGGATTCTTTGTGATTTTTAATGTACTGAGGTGAATTTTGTTACCTTGGTGATCCAACAGAACATTATGCTGTCTCGATGAGTGTGACCATAGAACTGACCCTGAACGACGTCACTGTAGTTCCGAAATATTTTGACCAGTTGCTCATTGTAGCTTTCTCGGACGGCTGTTGTATTTATAGCATAGGTAACCGATGGGAACGTGAGCAATTACATAGAACTCAGAGGAACAGATGAAATTACGGTCAGCAGTCACTCACACACCACTGCTGTCACTTACATGGACATACCACTATGCAACTGTTAATTTACAGTCTTGTAATAAAATGGCCCCATATGATCAGTGCAGCGGGTTCTTTCTAAAATTAAAATCCCTTGTAAAATCAGACAGAATATACTCACCATCTCCATTTTTTGTCTTGATAGCTCAAGCGTTCCCTGCAGCCACTGGAACTGCCCAGCAGGGTCAGTCATATTTACAGTCACTTGATTTGGACTGTAGTACAGGTTTGTGTTGAGACTCACCAGACGGAGGCCAGGTTTGATCACAAGAGAGTAAAAGCCACCTTCACACAAGCAAGTGATGTACAAAGAGCATTAGCTCAATACACTGTCGCAGCTAAAGTCCACTGGTAAGTGTGTGCACCACAGTTACACAGAGAAAAAAAGTTACTAAATTATTAAATAAATAAATGAAATAATTGTGGAAAAAATGTATAGGCTATATACATTTATTTGACAGGCTTTGGATTTAAATGTATATAACATTTTATATAAATTTAAATCTGTTGCATCATACTGTTGTTATTTTAATAAGGCTAAAACCTGTACTGACCAAGCAGCATTTATTATCTCCAAATAATCAAATAATTTAAATATACATTTTCACATATGTAGTAGAATGTCTTCTTTATAAGCAGTTACCTTTTTGCAAAGTAGCTACAGCTTCTGGATTCAACCACGGAGACCAGAGTTTGGCTACAGCATCGTAAATCGCATTTGCAGATGTTGGCAACTGATCCTAAAAAGTTTTAAAATGAGATTAACATAATAATAATAATAATAATAATAATAAATTAAAACACAAATAAATTCAAACACAGCATAAAATATTTAGAATTTTCTGAATACTCAACATTGATTTATAAAAAAATCTTCTTGAGCTGTATCATGCATCACATAAATAATTTCAAAATATTTTAATTATATATATATATATATAATTTTTAAAATATGTTCAAATTTTATATGGTTTCAAAATATTAATATCATTGTTAAAAAATATTATTGAAATATTCAAAAATGTTTCAAAATATTACTGATTTTACTGCATTTTTGATCAAATAAATGGAGCCACTTATGTTTGAAATATTTTTCATTGCATAATTGTTTTTGTGCATTTCTATTTTATAAAATAGAAATACAGTAATGAAATATAAATATACTATTTTTACAACAAAATATTTATATCAAATATTTGTGTTTTAACAAATAAGTTGTAAGTCACTTTCAGTGTATACAACAGTATGCAAATATTCCATTCAAACAACCTAAACCTAAACCATGTGCACTTTATTTGACCCCAGAACTGTTGTCTTGGATTGAATTCCCAGCTAAGAACTCTTGTTGCCCTTGGGATTGAAATACCTGTGGCCAGTAGTTGTGGTTGCCCAGGGCAGGATAAACTGGCAGCTGTGGGAAGAACTGCCGTATGGTGTGAGTCATATTGGCAATAGCATTGATCACCACATCAGTAGACAGTTCTTCTTTCGGGACGTGTGTCTCTGCAGTGAGGTGCAGAGAATTTTAAGAAAATTTATAAAAACATAAAAGAAAAAAAAAACATGAAGTGTTCATTAGCTCCGACATTAAATTATCTTCCAGATTAATCTAAATTTAATAACCCAAGTAAAATCACAAAACAGCTGCAATCAGTAAATGAAATTCCTTTATACCCTGTCCATATAATGAACTCAGGCTGCAGGTCTGCTTGTTTCATGTAACTGAATGCTGAGAGAATAAGCTGGTATGGGGAATCACACAGGAAATCACCAAACACTCCTGGGTCCACTGCAGGAATGCCCTTGGAGGAAAAACAGACTTTGGTGTGGTCTTCTGTGACATGGTAGGTTGGATCCAAATGCAGGTCTGAGATATGCCAGAATTTAGCTGGAATTTAAAATGCTTATGTTAAAATCATTTCACAAATATGTAAATTACTCCCCTTAAACACTGATATGTCAAATATTTTGTTGCACTCGGGAGCTATGCAAATATTTAATTTGAGATATTTAGATATTAATTTTAAAATGACATTTTTTTATTTGTTTTTTGACTTGTTAATTTTTATATATATTTTTGACTGTTAATTG